CCACCACCACCGCGAGTGTCACATCAGGCCGACCAGCCAGCACCCTGTCAAAGTGAAGCCACACTCCCGACCACCACCATGCACCACCAACAACCACACACGCACAACCATAGCCGACCCCCCACCAGAACCCGGCAGCCACTCCAGCCAAAGGGTCGGCCATTGCAACCAGGAACCCTGATCAAAAGATCCAAACAACCCAGGGAGAACTGGAGCACCGGCCCCACCCCCAATTGCCCCCCAAGGCCCAACACCCACCCACAGCCCAGGCCCAGACCCCAACCAGGCAGTCTACCCCGCTCCCTGCCCCCAACCCCAAGTGTCAAACGGACAACGAGGGTTTAAGGAAAACAGGAAGACCCAACCCTTCCCTCCTCCTACTCAAATAAGATGCTGATGCATGTTGTTATATAGTGCGTTTAAAATGGGAGGGATGAGGCGGCGACTGGCACAGACCCACCCCCTCCCCAAAGAGCAGGCAGTGCCCGTTCGCCCCCCCAACCCTTGCCCAGAACCCTAAATGTCTACATGCTACATATGAGAGTGGGCACAGGTCCCGGAGGTGAGAATGATTACACATCCCACCCCCTATATGCCACCATGTGCCCACTCCAGACCCTATATATGCATGTGTCATGAGAATGTTATAAGTGAGTGTCTAGGTTGTTAAATAAAATTGGGGCCCAGGTCTCCACGAACAACGGAGATGGAGGATCCTCCCTGCAGCTCAGTAGTGCACCTGAACCCCAAGGCCCTGCTTGAGTGGTGGTGTGATGGATTGGGCGGAGAAGACGTCGAGATGGGGAGAAACAACTGAGAAGCCAATGCCCTCCCAGGGGGCCAGCTCCCCATTGACCCCAATAGGCACCCCCATTCTCTGAGATCCACCAGGTTAGGGAGGCTCCAGTACATCCATCCAGGAGCAGGAGGCAGCCGCACCACCAGGGACCCAGGCCACGGACCGGCACATAGCCCCGAGGACTGACCAGAACTCGGGCCAGCGACCCCCCCCCCCCCCGAGATCGTCCAGATCCCAACCTGATCCCCAGCTTAACACCCAGCCCCCGACCAAAGAAACCACCAAACTCCAGCAGCAACAATCAGCCAGGAGTGCCCGAACAGCCGCAGATAGCGCACCACGACAACCGAGAGCGCACCCCCACCCCCACAAAAGGACCGACCAGTCCACCACAGCAACACCCACAA